AGAGTCTTTGATTTTTCTGTAATTTTCCTCTTACTAAAAACATTAAATGAAAATTAATCGGTTCTTTATCATATTATGTTGCCAGATACAAAAGGCCACATAACATATAAGTGTACTGATAGGAACAATCCACGATAGGTAAATTCACACACACAGAAAATGGAGTGCTTGTCAGCGACTGGGAGAGGTGGGATGGGGAGTGAAGGTTCAATGGCAACAGAGCAGATGAAGCTGTTCGGTCAATAGACGGTGGTAAGTATTGCACCATATTCAAAATGTACTTAATGCCACTAAATTGTAATTTTGAAAATATTAAAAANGACTGTACTTAGTAGGTGAGTGTTGTGGATGGTATTTAATGTGTTTAATACTCAGTGGATGGTATTTAATGTGTTGTAAATCTTTTTGTAAATATAAAATAATGTGCACATTAAAAATATTTACATATTATGGGCCGACCCGTGGCTCACTTGGCAGAGCGTGGTGCCGACACCAAGTAAGGGGTTACGTGTCCCTTACTGGTCATCTTTAAAAAAAAAAAAACTGTTTACATATCTCTTAAAGGAGAATAAAAGATTTTGAAAGTCCCACCTAGCAAAGCTGGTCCACATTCATGTCTTGGTCACGTCTCCCAGGCTGTCTCTCCCATTCGACTCCCTCTGTCCTGTGTCTGTCTGTCTCACTCTTTCTTCTTTCACCCAAACAGTCATTAAACATACAGGTGTGTATGCGTGTTGACAACACGTAGGTGTTTTTCAGCCTGAGACCCTCAGTACAGACTACAAACTGATATGTTTATGAACCAATTTCTGTGCACAGCTCAGCAGCCGCTCAATGTTCCCTGGTCCATGTGGACCAGGTTTGAACACCCAGCCCCTCTACAGGATGTTACAGACAATGCCAGCCCATTGCTACCTCCACCACTGCGGCGATGAAAACACTTCTACAGAAACCTGGGCAGCTGCGGTTGTGGAATAACCTCCCCGGATCACCGCTGCTTGGCAAATGGAAGTGCCTGAGCACTTTGTTAGGAGCTGCTGAGCTGTTCCCGAGATGGGGTATCTACGAACACGTCTCCCAGGGCATCCGCTGGGACCTCTTCTTCCCACATTCTCACCGGAGCTGGTCATCACCGGACATACAGACCTGCCCATCTCGAAAATGCCATCTGAAACATGAGTAAATTTCTGTGTGTCATCATAAGGGAGGGCACAGATGTCTGACATTTACTGGCCATATGAATTGCTTCCCTTTGGAACTGCAGGAATATTTCCTTTGTCCCTATAAACACATGGATAAATGAGAACTCTTTGTAACTCTAAGATGCATATAACCCTTCCTCTGACCATGAAGAATTTTCCAGTCTAGGGTTTGTCTTTTCAGCTTTTGACATTATTCTGGTTTCTGTTTTGACCAGGAAAAGTCAGCATTTTCCTCTGTGGCTTCTTTTTCTTTCTTTTTTTTAAAAAAAAAAAAAAAAGATGACTGGTAAGGGGATCTCAACCCTTGGCTAGGTGTTATAACCGGCCATCCCTATATAGGATCCGAACCCGTGGCCCTGGTGTTATCAGCACCGCACTCTACCGAGTGAGCCACGGGCCAGCCTCTC